TTCATGCTATAGGGCTCTGTCACCTCCAGAATACGGACAGATATTGTTCTGCCTTTGCTGTGCTGAGGCTGCTGTTACTTTCCTCCCTCTCAATCAGACTACTGTCTACAGTCATGTGTCACTGCCTGATCATTCTTCCATTGCCTTTATTTACCAGTTGTATCCACAGCACAACACACTCAGTGAAGCTCTACTTTTTCTTCACTTCCTAACCAATTAACTGTTTACACATAAAAATTTCTTGCTGAGATGATTCAGTTTTGTCCTCCACGTCTAGTCTCTTTCTGTACAGTTTTAATTTGTCTTTAATGTGTCATGTCTTTCCTTTCCTCCTTAATCCTTGCTTTCTCCCTCTGCTGCTCTCCAAACTCTTTTTCACCACAGCAGCAATGTTTCATCTTACTCAAATTCACCTTCCTCATTTGATTCACGCTTTTCCTTTGAATAACTTGCAACTTATTTCTATGTCTTGCTCCTTCCCACTCAACTACTACCTTCTTGTCACTCATACTGCCCAAATGCTCATAATTTGGCAAGTATCTGATGAGCCAAAGTATGTGAGCATCAACAATGCATGTTTGGGAGAGGTATAAATTTTGAATTTGAGGGGAATGAAAATGCAGAAGTTATCATCAATAGCAGAGAAGATCACAGCCGGCATTCCATAACACACAGTTTATGCCCTCCTTCTGAAAGGCATCTTCATTTTTCTCATGGTGTCACACCCAGTCCTTCTGTCTTTATTTTCATAGCCATTTGAGCTATCCTAAGCTTATGTTCTTTATTTTATCTCAAGGTGATACCAGTTTCTGGTTTGGCTATGCCAACAGCATTAACATCAAATATCTACTATCCAGCTCTCCAATAAAACTCCATTTTGTCCCACAAGCGGGAAACGATCCAAACCAAAAGCCAATAAACATTTCTCAGTTCCTCCTTAGAAATGCCTTCTTTTGCAATGCTTGCACTATAGTACATCCAGTTATTGAGTGATACATCAGTGAATTTTCAGATCTCCTTGTGATTATTTAAGATGCAGACAGGATTCTGGCGATACTTCAAAGGTCAGCCTTGTCACCACAGAAGTCCCTTAGGAGCAGATTTCATTCTCTGATTTGGCTTTTATAGGCAGATCAATCATCTAAGATCACCTCCTGGGGAGGTATTGCTTCTCTGCCTGGACCTCTTTGAAACTGCTGCCTCTCTCTTTGGGAGTATAGCTTTTAGGCTCCAGAAAATGAACTCGAAGGAGTAACTGAAATAAAACTAATGAAGACAACAGAGGAGGTAGCAGTGGCTGACTTTATTTTTATAATGATAACATGGGGAAACAAAGTATTGTGACTATGTAGAGGAGTCTAGTAAGGAGCCAGCAGATGGACAGAATAGCCAGACTCCCCTTACATGTGATGAACTCAGAGCCCCTTCTTGCCAGTGAAAGACATTGTGGTACCTGAAAGTAGGCACTGGTACTGCCACTTTCAGGATCTGCTTTCTCCCCACTGCATTTTGAGCTCCCAATACCCCAAATCAATCTTCACATACATCAGCTGCAGCTAAAACCTGAAAATCTGATATTGTTGATACTGTAAACTCTGCTGCTGTATAGAAACCCTGTTTATTTTGCAAAGCCTGAATGCCGTACTAGACTGCCAAATGGTTACAACTGTTTTTTCATCATATCACTGGGTTGTAAAGACAGAAAGGGCACCTTAATGAGTCTTCCTTGCCGACAGGTTTGTGCAACAACATATGTATTATCCCTTCCATCACCCGTTGGCAGAAAGTGGCATGGATATGTAAGCAGAGACAACAACTAAGTCTCCTAATAGCAGCTCTGGTCTCATTCACATTACCAGCAGTGGCTTCTGTCTGTGAATTTAACCAAGTAAAACATTCTCCAACTATTATGCAGGAGGGAAAAAAAAGGGGTAGGGAATATAGTCAACTCAGACCCTTTTCTTCCAAAAGTATACAATTCACAAGATTTCAGGGAGATAACCCATACAGGAATCTTGGCAGATTTCAATGCCAGAACTGTATTACCAAATTTGCTGATGTAACTTGAGTATCAAGAAAATTGTCACACTTTAGCAGACGTTACGATCACAATCGTGTGCCAAAAGAGTGCTCTTGATAGCTGGTTTGTGTCAATGATGAAGGAGATGAGTAGCCATGACACGTTAGCTCAGTTTTAAAAATGGATCTCTTAATAAAATCTCCATAATGTATTCCAACCGTTATACTATTTTTTCTTACTGTTATGGCATATTCTAGTATAGCATTTTTTGTTATTACTTAAAAAGAAACATTGTGGAAGACCAATGACTTTGAGCATTTTACCTTGAACCAAATATGCAACTGAGTGCATTAGTTTCTAGAGGATGGACTACAGGTGTCCTACTGATTTGACTGAACCGAAAATATTTAAGTATGTAAGAGATTACAAAATATGCCTGATATTCTTGCTTACAACAAAAAGCATTCTAGAAAAATATGCTGTGGGATAAATACAGAAAAATCATCCAAGGGCATGAAGGACCTTTGTTCCACAGATTTACTCCCTTCCAGTGACACTCACAGGAGAAACAGGTTCTACAATATCACAGCATGGCACATACTTGTTTAAGACAAGTCAAGTCAGTGTATCTAAAAAACTCATGTCTTTTGCAAAGGGAATTTCTTAAAAAGAGATAACCTCTCCTCTGCTGTGATGCCAGAAATCAAATAGAAGTCTTAAAACCCAAAGCTCTCTCAGCATAGGCTTCTCTATGGAAAATTCCACTTGTCTTTTCTGCTGGAAAAATGGGCTGATCTGGGACCCTAAAGCTGAGAAAAAAAGAAAGGCCAAACCATAAACCACTCTGACAAGACAACAGATTATTTGTTGAGCCATGGTATTCTTCTAGAATTTAGATGCTAGCTTTTACAGAAGGATGTAAGAGTGAAGAGAACTTACTTCAAAGTTTCAGCAAGGAAAAAGCTCTGCTGTACATCATCATACGTAGGAGATGAGGAATAGACATCCTTGACACCAGAAAAGCCACCACTCACTCGGCAATACTTGTCAATTGCCTGCAAAGAGGAAGGGAAAAGGAGAATTTAATTGTAGAGCAAAATTTGGAAACACTAAAGGATCAGGCTTGATCAACAAAGGAGGTAGCTCTTTTTGTGCTGCATTATTCTGCTGTGAATCTCCTTGTCAGAGGATGCCATGGAAATTAACAATTTATGCTGACCAAAAAACGGTACTGGACACATACAGAAGTAAAATCCCTCCAGGGCTACTAACGACACCACATTTGGCAAACTGCTAGATGCTAACAAAGTGTTCTGGGGAAGAATACTTTCTTTCCTGGGTATTTACTGTTGACTGATATTGATGTCAGGACACAAACTCAGCAGACATGCTCTGAGCTGGTATGGCTCCTCATAGGTAACGCTGAGCAGAACATCCATCGGTCAATCAATGCAACATGTGCTATGAGGTGCATAGGAAGATGACAAACGTCCCTGGATTTTGCAGCTGGAAGAGTTTGAAGAGTTATAGGAGCTCTATGACTAGTAGCTAGTCATAGGGACTTACTGAAAGTAGGAATAAAATACCGTACTCATCTTTAGGGACTGTTGATTTCATCTTATAAACTCTTCCAGCTGCTGCTTTCTCCCCACATTTCCAACTCCTACATGTGCTCTTCTCTATTTCCCCTTTATACAGTTAAAACTCAAGTCAGCTTGTGTGCTGGACTGCAGAAGAGCTCTTTATCTTTAAAGCATGAAGTTTAAATCCATAAGCATTCCATGCAGAAAGGGGGCAATGGATCCGTGATTCACAAATCACCCAACTAGTCAGCTCCAACACAGTACTGCAAAAAGCACAATGGAAGGGGAGGAGACTGGAAAGAACGAGTCAGTAGCTCAGAGCACCTCTTGCCTACGCTTTCATTATTTCACTCACATGCACGACCTTAAGCACACAAGGATATCAGCCATTAAAACCAGCCCCAAAGAAATGACTCTGAAATGATTTACAGGTTATTTGTGCTTCCCCGCTGCTCTGGCAGTGCTTCCTCAGCAGACACCAACTCTTTTAATAGATTCATGCAGGGACAGAAAAGGCACAGAGATGAAGGAAAATGTTTGGCTCAGGATGTCTGTCGTTACCAACTACTGAACGTAGGTACCTGTAGTTCACTAATCTATGATTCAGCCCTTTAGCCTGTATGAAGTTTCCCTCTGCATGGGGCTTTAGACCCAGATTTTCATTAATTCTGATTTTTGCTAGTTATACTCAACAGAAGCTGAGGGGAGCCAAAGCAGGGGAGCAAATCATTTTTGAATTATGTCCCTTTTTATGCAGAGAAAACAAATGCAATAAAAATTAACTCTTCAAGGTCCTTCTAGTATGCCTTTGCATACTAGAAATACTGGGAGACAAAGGAGAATTTTCCATTGGACATGAAGTATGCTGGCAGATGCCACCACTGCAATCAGGAGGAAAAGTGAACAGGCAAATAAGCAAGATAGCTAGGACAGTAAGTCAGCACATCAGGTACTACACCTAACCTCCTCCTAGTATACACTCTTACCCTGTGGAAATGTGAGGTTGTTCATGGACCAAAGAATAATCCAGTTCTTTCAAATTTCTGAAGACCAAGATTTTTAAAGAAGCAAGATGAGAGACTAGCAAAAGTATGCTACTGGGAATGGCTGAAGCTCTAGAGCCTGAGCTTATGCCAAGAAGGGTACTGTCTTTCTTTGGTAAATCTAATTCTCTTTGTAATTCCTTATCTCAAGTGGAGTCTTCTCCAAGTTCGGATGAAAACACTCCCTTTTTTGTTGGGAATTGAGCCTATAAGGAGAAAGCGTCTGGATGAATTTTTTTTAGATCTGGTTACCAGCACAGGCTAGGGCTACACTGAGACTATTCACATGTTGGGATGTGGGCGACCAGGTTTTCTCTACAGTCTGGAGAGAAAGGTGTATGTGACACATCTAGCCCAACAGCATCACATGCATGACAACCTCTTTGTCTGCATGCTCCTGCACACTACAAGTGATGCCAGCTAGCACATGGCAGCCAAACGGGGAAAAAAGGAACAGAAAAAAACCAAACTGCTTGGCAGACTTCTGAAGAAATAATGCATACGTAGTCTATGGAACCATTTGCACATTCCTCCCCACAAGTCCTACAGCCACTAGGCAGGTGTGACATGAAAAACAAGAGCCAAAGCACTTTTGCTTTCTAGGCAGGAAACGAAGTGCTTCCTCTTGCCGCCATTCTCTTTTTTTTTATGACACTGCAGAACATGACCTTGTCTCTGCTCTGGAGTGTGGCAAGATGGGGTGGGGGAAGCTCCAATGGTTACAACCCTGCCAGGATTTCTGGCATGTGGAGTCTGACCTTGCAGGGGTCCCTCTGGTCAATGATTCAGCAACCCTGACACTGTGTGCCACAGCTCAGACAGGAGAAACGTGCTAGTGATTGTGGCAAAATGAAAAGATGGAACAAACGGTACCACTGTTAGGAAATTGTATCCTTCCTCCTCAAGAATGAAATCCCCAAGTCAACCTAAGAGTCGCAACTCGTTTATTCTGGAGACTGCAGGTAACAGATAGCACCGAGATCCTGCTCTGCGCTGTAGAAGTCTCACGCTTGGATAACTAAGTGCAACGCTGCACTAAGCTGGCAGGCCTAGAAGCCTGAAGAAATAAAATGTGTGATTTATATTATTTTACCTTACAATTATGAAGTAGTCTTGTATCTTCAGAAATTTCTCTTTGGGGAGACAGACTCCAGCTAGACTGGAGTTCAGGATGGGCAGAGGATTTATCCTAGTTGATTGGCGATCTAGACACTGCAGGTAGTAATGAACTGTATAGGGAAAAATTCCTCTGAAAGACTGCTATACAGCTGTTCCTCCAAATATGAATAAACAAATTGTCCTTGACTCAGAGGTGTACAGAACTTCAGGATATGGGCTGAAAAGTTTGGTGCTGTAGACAAGCTGCTTAAAAGGCACTTGAAATTTGCAGTGTTCTGCCTTCACACAGGTCTCAGAGTATTTGGTGTAGAGGCATCTGATTTGCCACCTGGACACTCTTTTGCTCAAGAGCTGAAGACCAGTTTCCTTGATAAAATGATGCTAAATTTATTACACCCTAGAATACGGGGAAGTCCTAGATGACCGGAAGGGTATCAAGGTAATGCTACTATTACAAGGCATCGGCCGACTGACTGGACAATTTTAGGATGGCATACCTGATGTTAGTCCCAAACAATTATGGGAACACATGTAAAAAATATAAAAGAACAAGAGTTAATTGACACCCATCAGCATGGTTTTATAGAAAACTACCTTGCTTACAAGCTTGATTTCCTTCTTTGAGGTCTACAAATTGGCAAATAAAGGTAACTGTACAGTTGTAATAAACTTAAAAGTTTCTGAAGCAACTGACATGGTACCATAAGATGTTATGATAAAACAAAATAGCACTATATCATATCAACATCACTATCTTAATTTAAAAGCAACTAATGGTGCTCTAAGAACGAACTGGCAATGTAAAATCATCACCAAATAGAGCTGCTTCTAACAGAAATCCACAAGGAGTGGTCTGAAGTTTTACCAATCACTGCAACACAGCTGCTGGCAAAAATTACATGGGTAAATAACAGCAGACAGTATAATGTGGCAGTAACTGGGGTCCAAACAAAGTGAGCTTCATATAACCAGACACACAAACCTAAATCTAGACATAAAGGCTTTGTAACTGCAGAATCAGATTAGCCTGGAAAGTAGAGACACTTAAAAGAATTCAGTGGCCACATGAGACAATCCAGTATGAGTTCCTGCTAGGATGTTGTGGCAGGTGCGCACACAGGGATAGTAAACAGTAGCAGGGATATAATTTTACTTTTGCAGAGGGCTGTGGGTAAAGTCAAAAGTGGAATATGCAATTCTAGAACTCATTTTTAAAAAAGGATGATGAACTGACGTGGGTGCAGATATTTGGAGAAAATGCTTTACAGTGGGAGACAATACAATTTGTTTAAGTAGACTCAGTAGTAAGCTTATTATAATCTATAAAAACTCTTTGGAAAGAAAACATGGGGGAATAAAAGACATTTTAATACGGCATAGGAAGTCACAGGAAAACCCAGTAACTGGCAGCTGAAACTAGACAAATTCAAATGGGAAATAAAGCATATATTTTTACCAGCACAAGTAATTAAATAATGGAACAAACTATCAAAAGAAGTGGATTTTTCAATTCCCTTTATTCAAATCAAGAGTAGAACAGAAGAATATGCAATTGTGTACTCTTGCCAAATACATGTGTCTCGGCTCAAAAATGATGCAAAGCGAAATTTCAGGGCCGGTGACATAGAGGGAAGTTAGAGTTGACCCAAGTTCTTTAGAACTAAAATTGGAGGTGCCTCTAGATCGGATCCCAGTTCCTTCAGTTCCTCTGGGGGTGTTTTTATGATTGCATATGTGACTCTTCTTGACTATGCCAACAACACGCTCATAAACACTGTGCCAGTTTCTTCAGCAGCTTACCTCCCAAAACACCTCTCTGGTACTCAGTTTCCAACCCACGGACTCTGAACCCCTGTTTCTTTCACCTCCAACCTATGGTTGGCTCTTTTCTTTCTACTTTGCTTCACTAAGTAGAGAGCTATAGGTTTTTCCGCTCCATCTTACTGTCAATCCTAATTTGCCTGAAGTCCTGTATATTATTTTCACTGTAATAGAAACTCCGAATGAACTCTGCAGCTTCCCTGGTGCAATCCTGCTTAGTCAGATATGCAAGTCCCCAACAAATAGCTGAACCCTTCATTCAAACAGCTTAGATCAGTCATTGGCTTTACATTCCTATTGTGAGGCGGTGGCTCTTATTACTTTCAAATAATTAGCCTAAAAAGGATTTTAGTCATTTTCGGTATTTACCCCAAATATCTTGAGTGTGTATTTCTGTAATACTTCAGCCAGCCCCCAGCATACCATCATCCAATTTGGCTGGCCCAGTACAATTGAGATTGATGTTGTCTCTAGTGCTAAGTATAGCATTAGGGAGAATTAGCCCTTTTTTATGAAGAAAGAGATAAAGACCCTGTCACGGAGATTTATGATCACTGAGGAAATATAAAATTCAACTTCCTGTTTTTTCCCCACAGACACTGGATTTGGAGATGTGACAAAGCAGGCCTTAGTCAAAGCACACCATCTGCACTAAAATGTCCAAGTTTTGTTTGAAAACCTAGATAATAAAGCCAAAAAGAAGCTGCCAATGGTGAAACAGATAAAGAAAGTACAGTACAAAGATCTGCATACACGTACAATCCAGCCCTCTGTGCAAATTCCCATTGAGAAAAGGCAGAAAGAGATCTGGGCTGGAAGTGCTAAAGAAGCTTAAGTAATGCAGTATACTGAAAAGCCAAGTGGTTCTGCAACGTATCCTGGGTCATCTCTGAAGAGTTCTTAAAATGACAGAAGCAGACCTCTAACATATTGGTGAGCTAGCCCAATCCATTGTGGTAGGGATGTATTCATGCATTCAATGAAGCAAACAAGGGAGACCACTAAGAACTCAGGCATCAAACACCAGGTTACACCAGGTCCAGTGTAGAAAAATAAGACCATTTAGAACTCAGAAACAAAACTCAGTTTCCCCAAAACTTTAAAAGAACTACTAGACTTCTGATGAAGAATGTATCATTTGCCACGAGAAGTCTGTAATACAGATTTCAAAGAATGCATCAGTGGTTGAAAGACAAATAGAAAGCAAATACAGAGAGTGTTGTACACAAGCGGCAAGCCAACTTCTCTGTGTCATCCCAGATTCTTCTTTATTTATAAATGGAGGAATAAACACAACTAGAGCTGTGTGTGGTAGGGAAGAAGGGAAAGTTGTGAGTAGGTGTGAGGAGTAAACAAGAATTTATTATCTGTATGCAGGGAACAGAAAACCACGGGGAAGAAAAAGCTTCCTGAGCTTCTATGTTAGTATGATGACAGGGGAAAGAAAATCTGTAATTGTGGGAGGGAGGGGTATGCAAAACCATTTATGAAGAGTTCAAAAATACTTTACAGCTATGTTGGATAAAGAAGCTCTTTATTGAGGAAGCAAGCAAAAAAAGGCACCCTGTAAGGACAGAGGCAGTTAAACATGTGGGCTGCTTGATTTACACAACTTCGACACAGGTTGACAGAAGGATAAAATAAAATCCTACCCTGCACACAGAAAATTGGAGGCAGGGGAGGAGGAAGAGAGGGTTTGGGTGTGAAAGCATTAATGGCGACCAAGATATGATGGCAAATGAAGAAAACAAAACCAAATGCAATTCAAAAGACATGCTTTGCAGTGTGCTTAAGAGACAGAACTTGGCCTGAAAAATTTACAATTGTAAATTCTTTAACCTAGTACAAAGGACCCAATCTCAGTTTGGATCATCCAGCCATAGCTTCTGACAGGAGCTGGTGTTAGATCAGTAAGCATTTGTAGTACACACAGTGGCAAGGAGCAGTTTACTAAATCCACTTCTTTGTCGTGTTAGAAACACACACAGTTTGGGCAGGAGGGATGATGTGACTCAGTGTTTGATGTTTTGCAGAGCGCCGCAATGCATTCTGGAATACAAATGTGACAAAAGCGGAACCTCTCTCCAGAGTAACGTAATGTTGGTTATAACAAAACAGTCTACAAGGCAAAATCTAAACAAGACTAAGACACCATCTTAAAATACTTTGACTCTGCTATGTGATTATAACTGCACTGAGGGAAGGGTCAGGATGAGCTCAGCTAAATATTCTGAATCTGCCTTAACTATCTTCCAACTGACAAATACAGACTTCTCAACAGATCTCTTGCTCCAAGTACTTTTTCTGGGTCTCTTGCCTCTGCACTGAAACTGGTTTTGACCTGTAGAATAGTTTCTCCAGGCTCTTGATTCATCTCTTCCTTTGCTCTTCTCTGATCTCTGTTGGCTGTACTCAAAACATTTCATTAGTGTCTTGTTATCTTTAATGTTTATTCACATGTCTGAAACTGGCTTTGAGCTGTGTCTCCAAAGACTGATGGAGCTGTAGCAGGGAAGTGGAGGAGATGTAGTAATCCACAGATCTCGAAGACGACCAGAAAATTGCTTGGCCAGCAAATCAGTTTTGCACAGCCTCAGTACGGACCATCAGATGGAAGCAGCGAGAAACATGAGACCAAAAAAGGCTCACAAGTTCAGCCCTAGGAAGCATTTAAAAGAAGTCTTTTGGGGATTACAAATAACTTTTACAATTAGAATATTATATTGTCATTTGAAAATGAAGCCTAGTTATTCATATAGCCCATAATCTATGACTACCAGACAAAGGAGTTACCATCTATGTACGAATGATGAATGAAGGAAGGCCACGAGCAACAGATCTGTGTTAAGAGTCTTACAATGAATCTGGGTTTTTGTAGACCATTGCAAGCATTTCCAATGAGAAAGAGTCAGAAGCATTTTCACATTTTGGAATTTGATTAAAACATACGACAACTAGATTTAAACCCAGGAAAGCAGCTATATATAAAAAAGCAACAATCTCAGATATCTTAACAACAATTTTTAAGTTCTGCCTTATGTGCCATTACTTATCCACTTCCCCTTCTGGTCTACTTCTAGTGATGTAATTTTTTGTTATAACCGAGCAAATCTAAATCTAAACTGACTGGCAAATTTCCTTCCTTCCAACTAGACAATTAAGAAAAGAAAGAGCCGTGATACCAACCCACATATACGTATGTACGTACTCTCTAGTCTACAAACACTCTGAGAACAGTTGTCCTACCACTTGTGTTTTAACAGCCAAGAAGAAACTGTAGGAATAGCTTTGTCTTTTAATCTAATCTGAGTGCTAACACATGCTTAACAAAGTTATTTATAATACACTTTCATTTCGCAGGATAAATTACTTCTCTCGGGGGCTGTGAACTACTGATAACAGTAGGAGTCCTGACCAGCGCATTCTATTTCCATCCCTAAAACCCATCAGCTGTATAATGCTGAACACGTCTCTCATCTGTGCATCTGTTTCAGCAGTTGCAAACCAGGAATAACTACACGCACCCCTGTATATACCGCATTTTACAGGGACTCGTGAAAATCAGTTACCATTTGAAGTGTTTCAGCACCACTGGATGAAAGTGGCTACAAAAGGAAATACGTAGAATTAGCTTACTGACAGATAATCAATAGATTTACCTGCGTTGCCTCCCAGCCCCACTGCCTGTACTTGGGATCGTGGGTGAATCTCCACATATACCAGTAAGTCTCAATCACCTCTGGTCTTAGGATGTAATACTTCTCATTCTGCCGCACTGCCACCGCCTCTACACCACCATCAAATTTGAATGCTTCTGGACCCAGCTTTAATGCTGCAGAGGAAAGGGGGGGAAAAAAAAAGAAAAAAATTATTCCTTACCAATTTTTGCAGGAAGGGTGGCTAGGAGACTGCCATATCCCAAGCATGTGAGAAAAGCAGAAACTAGCTTGTCTTTAAGCAGTTTCATAAATATTTCCTATTGTTGAGGCCTATAATTTTTCTTACAAATAATTTATCCAATTCCTGTGAGAAAACTACCTGTCTTGACAGAAGTACAGTCATCCTCTTGAAAACTAATGAAACGCTAAGAATATAAACACATTAACACATTCAATTATAGGATAAAATTAAAGTGATCGACATCAGTTCTTTACAAGCCAAAGAAAAAAAATACGGTCAACAGAGGTTTTGATGCCCTTTGATCCCACCAAGCACAGCGGCAAGAGATCTTGGAACAAAACCAGGTATCACCATCTCAAACAACCTGCATCTTTATCCAAACTCACTTGGTTTAGAGAAGTGCTGTCAGGCCACCGTACCTGATGTGCTTCATAATGTGATCCTCGAGTATTACAACTAGGCAATGAAAACCCAGCCACACCTGAAAATAAATCTCTGAAGTAAGAGATTCACTGTTTCAGCCCTTAAAGGAAGCTGTAATGGCCCTGTGCCAGCATCTATAAGACTATTCATATAAAAAGGAAGTACCTGTAGAAAAACTATCTATAATATGAAGATGCAATTACATATATTTTTTTTTATTATACAGCTACACATTATTCCTCAAATTTGACACAAATAATGCACTCTTACCTACAGCTGCACCCCACCCTTTGCCGTGGCAGAGAATTTTTAAGGCGCTGAACTTTGAAGCTGCACTCAAGCTTTAAAAATTAGCAAAGAGATTAATCATGTAATTCCTACGGGCTAGAGGCTGAAATTAACCATGGTCTCATGAGCCTGAAAGGGGAACCTTAGAATACTACAATGAAAAATATGAACGCCTCCCACTGTGTGCCCCAACAGGAAACCTCCCAAAAACATTCCTTATTCTTTTTGTTTCAAGGGACAATAGCTATGGATGCAAACAGAAAAAAGTACCACTCTGCTTCAGCCACAGAGGTGATAAGGAAAACTCCATCAAGAAATGCTTATGATAGCTCTTCCAAAATGGGCCATTTTACCTGTTTCACTAAAAAAAGTTTAGAATTTTTACTGCAATATCAATGAGATCAGATACAGAGGTCTACCTATACAAAATTAAGAAGATAAGAATGGCCATACTGCACCAGATGAAAGTTCATCTGCTCCAGTATCATGTCTGCAACAGTGGTGAAAATCAGACAAGGATGGAGAAGAGGAAGAACGGGCCAAGTTTATATGATACCTTTTTCCAGCTTCTCTACCAGTCTCCAATTTTTTTTGAGCTCAAGACTTCTCCCAAACTAGACATACTTTTTTATGTGGTCAGTAATTCTTAATAGATTTATTTCCCAAGTACTTATCTGGTGTTTCCTTAAACCTATGTATGCCTTAAGCATCCAAAACAACCTCTGGTGAAAAGTTCCACATCTCTCCTATCTCTTCAGTGTAGAACTACGTTTTTTTGTTCTTTTCCATTTTCACCTTGGTTCCTACTAGACTCATTCAATAGCCCCTAGGTCTTCCCTTGGAGAAGAGAGTGAACAACTGATTCCTATCTACTCTCTCCAGCCCCCTGCTGATTTTGCATCTGTTGTATCCTACCTAAACCATCCCTTTTACACACCGAGGAATGCCATCCGATCCAGTTGTTCCTTGAATGGATACTGTTTCATACCTTTATTTTTCCTTCTAGCCTTTCTCTGCAACTCATTCAGTTCTACTATATCCTTTGTGAAATGCAAGGACCAGCCTGAATACAGCCCTAAAAGCGTGGACAAGATTAATACAGTAACATAATGACATTTTCTATTTTGTTCCTTCTCACTTTGTTTTTCCTAACTGCTACTGAGCTGACATTTTCATAATCTCAAGAGCAATTTCCTGAGTTGTAATGGTCAGTTAAGAGCTCATAATTTTATATGTGAGGTTAGGAATAATTTTTTCATAGGTGCCTCACTTTACATTTAACTACACTGAATTTAATTTAGTAATTTATTATGCAATTACTCAACCTCATAAGGTCCTTGTGCAATTTTTCAGCTTTCGTCTTTGCTGAGTAGCTTTTTAAAAAAAATGTTATTATCAGCATGCTTGCTTTACTGTTCCTGCCCTTTTCCTCATATATGTGTATATACGTATAGATAAACATAAGGTATATATATTTTATTTATATATAAATATATACACATTAAAATATAAAAATGGATGTTTGATGGATGGGCCACTCAGAAGATAAGGAACTGGCTGGATGGCTGCACTCAAAGGGTTGTGGTCAACGGCTCAATGTCCAAGTGGAAACCAGTGACGAGTGGTGTTCCTCAGGGGTCAGTACTGGGACCAGTGCTGTTTAACATCTTTGTCACTGACATGGACAGTGGGGTTGAGTGCACCCTCAGCAAGTTTGCTGAGGACACCAAGCTGTGTGGCACAGTCAACACACTGGAGGGAAGGGATGCCATCTAGAGGGACCTGGACAGGCTGGAGAGGTGGACCAATGCCAACCTCATGAAGGTCAACAAGGCCAAGTGCAAGGTCCTGCACATGGTTCGTGGCAATACAATGCTCAAATACAGGCTGAGAGGAGAATGGACTAAGAACAGCCCTGAGGAGAAGGACATGGGGGTGTTGGTTGATGAGAAGCTCAACATGAGCCAGCAATCATAGAATGGTTTAGGTTATTCTATAATATACATTTATACATATATATACACATATGTGCATAAATATATATCAAATATATCAGTGCACCATTGGTTAACTAGCATTAGTCCACTTCAAGAGCTGACTATTTATCTCTACCCTATTTGTCATACTTTAACTATTTTTTCTCCATGCAGGTACTTGCTACTTATGTTGCAGCTGCTTAATATCCTTAAAAGGCCTTAGTAGAAAACTTTTGAAAAATCCTTTTGGAAATCAGGTAAACCATGTCAGCTCTATTAGCCTTATCCACCAAAGAAGTTAAATTTCAGGCAGTTCTGGTGATGCATCACCTACAGAAACTGTGACAACTTCTCTTTCTTTGTAGCCTGCTGGTGCATTTAGCCTTTAATAATTTACTGATATCTACTTCTAACATTATTGCATACTCCAAGAAATTATACCACTCAGAGGATCGGTGATCCCTGCAGATTGTGACAACCTCACTGAATTTTTATCTGAGACCAAGGATGCAAAATTAATCACAGCACTTCTACTAGTAGCTGATTAACATAAAGAAGCTACTATGAACACAGTACCTTTTGGGGGAACATTCTTCTAAGCAAAGAACCATCTAAGGCCATTTTACAATGCTAGGTCACACTTTAATCCAGTTATTTTAGTATTAATGGGGCTGATAGGCTATATTTCTAGCAGGGAGAGCAGATGAGAAACAATTTCATACCATAGTGCAAAATTGCAAAGCTAAACCAGTACCATTTAAAAAAGAGACTTTAACTGATTTAAAGTTTACTTCAATAAGAGCTGTATTTAGCACTGCTGAAAATAAGGGCAAATCCTCAGACTTCTAAATAAATATCTATATATATGATCTTATAAATAATTTTGAAAACACTGCTTAATTTTTTTGTGTGTTCCTTTAAGTCTACAGTCAATCTAGCAACACATTTCCTGAAGGTAAGAAAGGATTCATAGTTTTAACAATAGGTTCTCTCATAAAATTTGAGGAAGAGACCCTCCAAGATACTTTTGTTTGAGACTCCCCAAACCATTCCATCAACGTATATTGTTATTTTATTCTTCTCACAAAAACAAGTAAGTATTCTTATCATCTTCGCCCGTGTAGCTTCTTACTGAGAGTCTTGGGACAGAGACGGCATCTACTCATACCCTGACAATGTCTCAGTTGAAATCCTAGTCAACTGGCTTATTCTACATTGGAATTGTCACACGTGAAAAACAGCAAATGCTGTACCCAGATTCTGAGGACAGTTCTTGTCAGAAACTTTAAAGACATAAAAAACCCTTTATCCTAAAATAATCTGCCCATAGTCAGTCAATACTTTACATATTATCGGCTAATGGCTGGGAAAATTCGTATTTATACGGAATAATATTTTACAAAAAATAGCATGTGCTGTAAATCAGCACATGCTGCTAATCTATATCAGAAATAGTGTGGTGAGCAGGACTAGGGAAGCCATTGTCCCCCTGTACTCGGCACTGGTGAGGCCCCACCTCGAATGCTGTGTTCAGTTTTGGGTCCCTCAGTACAAGAAAGACGTTGAGGTGCTGGAGTGCGTCCAGAGAAGGGCAACAAAGTTGGTGAGGAGTCTGGAGCACAAGTCTTATGAGGAACGACTGAGGGAACTGGGGTTCTTCTTTAGCCTGGAGAAAAGGAGGCTGACGGGAGACCTTATCACTCTCTACAACTACCTGAAAGGAGGTTGTAGAGAGGTGGGGTCAGTCTCTTCTCCCAAGTAAGAAGCGATGGCATGCGAGGAAACATCCTCAAGTTGCACAAGGGCAGGTTTAGATCAGATATTATGAAAAATTTCTTCACTAAAAGGGTGCAAGAAGTGCGTTTGTTCTGTGAAATTCTGTTTTGATTTTGCTGAGACTGGACCTTGAAAATAACGATTTTTTTTTTCCCTTGTGCTCAGCCCTTATGGAAATGTAGGTTGCTTCATAAAGCAGTATTTTACACTAATATATTATAAACCCAGGCATATACTGCAGTTTATTATGAGCAACCCTAGGAAAACACAGGAAAGGACAGCTGTAGATGGTTTATCTGAAGAAAAGGGCTCTCTATCCTCAGCACCTCGCTGTCTCCTCTGGGCACACCAAATGGGGCAAGAGTTCTCCCAACTCTACAGGAGACAGAGATCAGGCTCTCCCCCTTGTTGACTGAAACACAAACCAACCAGCTGAACCAGGATGTCTGTCTGCCCTCTTAAAGACAGTCTTTTTCTGCAGCCAGCTAGTCTTGCCATTGAAGTGCACAATTATGTCTCAAATATTGCTGTTAAAGCATAATTAAAAAGTTGACATTTTGCACATAACGGAGCTTTATTTTCTTTGAAAAATCAGTCCAGGGGAAAAAAAAACAAACAAAAAAAATCCACATTATTTCAATTGCAGGACTGAACAAAAGAAAACTAGGACACTGCAAATTTATAGCTGTCTGTACAACTTTCAGTTTGTTTCCTTCATGTGTGTGTTCTTATACAGTCATTAAATATGTAACCAAAACTTTTATCCCCCTGTCTTTTGACTTATTTAGGGTACAGAATAAACATCTGAAGGAATAAAATTAGGACTGCTGCACAAACAACTGTAAATTCAGTATGGCTTATTTTCAAGTGTCAAACATTCAAATGTTTAATTTCAATGTTCAATTTTTCAAAGTGCAATAATAGTTATTATGCCCTACCTTTTTCCTTAGCCATCCTCTTTTTTGCCGCCTTTTTTTTTTAAATGCTATTGCTACCCAGGTAAAAGTATTGCTCATGACCATCAAATTGAATTATTTAAAATTACAGGTAACTATACAATACTATGTAATCCTGTGAATAACTACATGAATTCTCATCTTAAAAGTGCTTTTGAGTTTTAGTTACTATTACTTCTATTACGAAGTTATTTCAGAAGCTCACTTCTCTGATGGCTACACAAAGCCATTTCCAATTTCCAACCTACATTTATTCACGGCGAGCTTACAAATTTTGCTCTGGGTACAACTGTGTTGTTTATATCTTAAAATAACTCTATTTCTTTTCAGTGTTTACCCCTTGAGATGACAACAAAATTAATTCCCTTCTTTGGCATTATTTTTCTTGTCAGAGCAGGCCAACCTCTCTTATTTTCCCACTGCAAGATAAAAGCTCTGTTGCTCTAATCGTTCTGTTGGTCTTCCTCTGCATTTATTCTGCTTGAAATTCAGATTTGTACAGCATATTCTGGATGACAAATTATACGTGTCTTCTAAGGCAGTGTTAATATTCTCTAATCTCTGCTGAAAATTTTTCACCTGATACAGACTAGGGCTGCACTGGTATTTTTCAACTCCCCATTTAGAAGACAGAGCTCCTGCCTTTTTTCTGGTGAACTTTTTACTTCTGACAGTGCAGTCCTCAAGATCTTCCTGTTTACTATTCTGAGACTCTTCTGTTTTGACTGTGTCTTATGACTTTTTGGCCACTGTAAGTGTAATCAGCACACTCCGACTTTATGCATCAATGCCACTATTAAAGATGTACAATAAACCTGATCCCTAAGGCTGAACTTGAGAAACTTCCATCCCAACAGTGAAGTCTGATATTGCCTTCTCACTCGTCACGTCTTTGGCCATCTCACAGTTTGCATACTAATGTTCATCTTCTCTCTAGTTTAATTATACTTACCTAGAATATACTATTACTAAAAATAGTGAAAGGTGTATTTACAAATTTTTCACTCTACATAACTGTAAGAATAGTATATATGAAATGAAAAATTGCCCTATGTATATGGGAGGACAAGAGTTCACACTCACTCCTTCCTCCCTGCACCCATATAACCTATCTTAGCTGACTGATCCAAAAATAGGGATAAATGTGCAGTAAGGAACCATATAAAGTCTGGTAGGTCAGAAGTAAATACACGGATGTTAAAAAAATTATACTGGTATAAAACCAGTGCATGATAGACAAGGCACAGGTCCATAACAAATCTTAAAAATAAACGACAATTTCTGTAGTTCAACTACTGAAATAACTAGATTAGCAATGAATCTTACTTGTCCTGTCATATGACTCATGACACGTATGTGCAATTTCAGCTCCAAGCTGCAAATAATGTCCAGCTTTATCATCTCTGGAACCATCTGCTCCAAGGGCAAACATTCCCCCTGCAAAACAGGTCAAATGGCCCATCTTTCTTTCAAGGTGCCCATTCTTCCACTCCCCGATGAAGGTCAGTCCTCCATTGGACTTTCTGATGAGATGTTTTTCTATGGCCTACAAGAAGATAAGGAGAGAGCTTTCAAATACTGTTTCATATGCAAGTTTTACATACTACCTCTTCTTCAAAGTATAAGATACCATTTTCAAAACAAAAAGAATTTTCTTCTTTTGCCAAATTCACTTCTGAGCACTACAGGAACAAACTGTTATAAAAATATAATTTCAATGCACACAAAAAAATACCCTCACTGCTAAATGATGCGAATGAGATCAATCATAGGAAAACCACAACATGGCACTTTTAGCTGAGAATTCAGTACATAGTTTATGGCTCAAACAATGTTAATCTACCTGTTAACTCTGAGAAGGATCTATTTGTTCTGCTGTACAGTCTGTGTGTTTTCAGCATAGATGCACATCGGATACTTTGGTCAGCAACATATGCAAAGGCAGCACCTTTAAAGGTTGACCTCTCTGTCAACCTTTAATAGGAAGTGAGCGGAATGCTCCAGCCACCTTCTAGGTGCTTCTCCATAGCAGCGTTCTGATTGTATATGGTCAAAGGATGGGTGAGGGTTAGAGTAGCTGTTCGCAAAAAACATTATTGTACAGGTGAGGTAACTTATGCTTTTTCTTTGCACGTTTGTACCAATATATGTTGTTGCTTGTGATTTATAAATGGTATTCTGGTAGTAGGAAGGAGAATAGCTGACCTAACTTTCCAAAGTTTGCAAACTACACGGAACAACACATTTACTTAAGCCTCCTTCAGAGAGGTTCACAATCCCAACCAATCTACTGCAGTACTTACTATCTTTAGTGTTAGACAGTTTTTCTTGTAACTACAATCTTGTTACAGTTTGAGTCCTATAATTATAAAGGCAATTACCTTCTTTACCATGGAGACATTAAGCCCATCTTCTTTCCAGAATTCTCTTTTGTATTTACGCACATAACCCTCTGATGGGTTTATAACTTCCTACAAAGTGTGTGACCTGTGACTAGTCAGAGTACTCCAAGGCTGACTGGAGTTCAGGGATTAATGTCCACAACTGTATTTTGCACTACAACTAGAAATACTGAGAACATACAAGCAGAGGATCCTGCACATAAGAAAAGCTGTTATCATGGACGTGGAGGTCATGTCTGCTGCAGATCTACAAGTCTCCTTGCTATCTACACAGGGCAAACTATGCCGTTCACTACAATACGGATTCAAGCAATAAATACATAGATTAATCAGCTTGCAACTTGTAATTCAGGTTTAGAAGTGGACAATGAAATAGCTTTTCCCTCTAAATAAAAAGTGAGACTGCCTTTTGTTTTCAACAAATGGAGGAATAAAAAGCTTCAAGCTCTTCTGTGACTGTAGTAGGTATTTCTTTTTAAGCTGATGCTTAAGTGATACAGAACTGTTAAAGCAGCTGTATTTAACCCAGCAATATTTGATAACACAGAAGTCCTCCATCCAGGTACTGAAATAACATCTGGCAGCCTTCCAAAGTTTTCTTCAACAAAAAAACTTTTCTACAATCAAAAGTATTGAAATTACAGTTAGACAAAGCAGAATTTGTAGGATTAGGAGCCCCATCTGAGGCAGATGATAATATAAACAGTAGTCTGAAATAGTCGTGTTTCTGAGTATGTAAGTGTTTCTGTATGGTTTTCTGAATATGTTCTTGACTTGAAATGCTGCAGTGCTTGCAGCAACTTTTCTGGATGGTTATAGTGATGTAAATCTACACCTCAGCCACGTAGCCAGGGAAGATCTGGCAGCCCCCATATGGCCAAGGTGAATGTCGTAGCTAAAAGCCAACGCAGTGGCTTACAGGGAGAAGACTGCATCAGTAGGGCCCTACTATTTACTTGTACTGTGGATTGAGCCATCATTTGGATGGTGCAATTTCTCCGCTGTCCTCTGTTGAGCTTGTGCGTTCTGAATGTGATGAGAGAGACGTGCTGGTCTGCATTCCTGTTAGGTTACCTTCTTCACCAACACCACTAACAGATCTGAAGTTTGTGTTTATGGCAGGATCCAGCAAGAAGAGCGCTAAAATAACTGACAGAGCAGAAACCACTAAGTCTCTGACAGCTGCTAGAGCGGTTGTCTAACCATCACGCAAATTGGCATTGGTATGATACTGTGGCTTCTGCTGCTGGGGAGCCTGATGGGGTTAACCGTACAAGCCTCATTCGTTCTGAAAGCATCTGTACAGGAAAGGTTGGATCTGCTGAAAATTCTGCAGCTGAAGATGATACTAAGATCTGTAGCACTAGCTCTGCTTATTCAATTCTTAAACTGTGACAAAACTGACATTATGATGATTATAGGATTTTTTTTACCAAATAGCACATAAAAGTTGAGCAGTCCTTTTTAAAGGAAAGCCACTTTTACTATAAGGAGCAAGAAGGCTGAAAAGTGTTTACATTATTTATTTCACGTGGAGGAAAACTTTTTTTTTTCCAAATGTTGTGTGGAATTCCCTTTTGAATTGTATCTTTTTGTAATTTCATAACTGTTGATGAGTAAATGGTTTCAGGAGCATTTCCAGGGGGATAAAAAATCACTGTGGTTGGCACCAGGAGAGCCAGCAAAGGCCAAATTTATACACTCTCCATGAGTTACTCCTTCACTCAAGACTTGCTTTCAGGGTTTGACTGAAGAATATCACCTAGATGCAATGTGGCCCTCTTTTGAACAGAGAATACATCTTCTGAACTTGAACATCACACTCCTGTATGAAGGGCAGTTTTTGAAATCTGAAAATCAAGTTCTGTCAGCAAGTTAAGTTCCAACTTAAGAGCTGCAAAGGAAGCATCTCCAAAAAGAAAATAAATGCAACCCTCTCAAAATACTTTATCATTCAACAACCTACTGCTTGCTAACTGTATAACACAGACAATTAATATTTACACTAATTAACAAGGAATAACCGGGCATTGCTGGGAGCACTGCCTAGTGGATGAGAAAAGCTTGAGCAGGTCAGGACAGATCTGACATTTGTATCCTGGGCTGGATGCCTGGGGCCACAGAGCACTCCAGTAAGAACTGTAAAGCAATGACATCCAGTCTGAACATGAGGAGTATACATGAACTAGAGGGAACATGTATACTTAAGGTCCCAAAGAAAAGACTGTTCGCATCAGCTGAGAGATTAACTGATGAAGAAGCTTCCTTAGTCTGTGAAATGCCCAAAACAGAGTGAGATGTGGAAACAGAATGTTCTCTATCTGATGTTCATGCTTTCTGTGAGTTTTATGACTACAAAAAAAAAAAGCATTTTCTGAGCTGTCTTGCAGCAGTACTTGCTATGTTGTAATAATCAAACACACTGCTGAATCCTTTTAGCTATCTAATGCTGAGCAATAAGAAAGAGCAAGGATCAAATTAGAGAGCCTAATAAATTAGACTACTCAAGGCAACAGATCAAAAGGAAGCTTCCCTATCCTCTGGCTGATGTGAGACGGAGAAAAGACACTTTAAACTAGACTAGCTGGGAGGTCCACAAGACGACATTGAAAGCAAAATTAAGAGGGCCCACCCTCAGTACTTATCACCAAAAAAAATTCTCAAAAAGTTTTACAATTTCAGCTCTTATCACAGCTGTGAATCTGTATACTAGGACATTGAAGTGAAGTGTCCTTTACAGTGGATTACTGCACTAATGTTATATAGCACGTAGAGGTCACGGATACAGAATTTGTTCGTACTCTTGTCATGAAGTATGTGGTAACCTGGGTAAGGCTTCATATGCCATGGACTGGAAATCATGACATCTGAAGAACAGATGCTATCATCTTTCTTCCTCTTAATACCTCCAAGAAATGGGATATCACTGCCTACTGCAAGACCTGAGAGAGAGAGTATGGTTGTCTATTGTCTACTCTCCCCCCCTGTAGCAAGCTAAGGCAGTGAAGTGTGGCTGGACAGATACCTTCTTTTAGACTGGTGGGTGCGGAGAATATTGCCAACTCCGTGCTACGAGTGGGAAGAATGTATTTTACACCCTTCCCCTTCTGCCTGCATAAATGACACAGAGCTTTTGCTCGAAGTTTTGAAAAACAAAGAGTAAGAAGTATCAGCTATGGAGGAAGACCTATGTTATGGGCAACAACAAAAGAATATTAAGGGAATAGATTGAGAGCAGCCCTGAGAAGGACTTGGGGGTGCTGGGTGATGAGAAGCTCAACATGACCTGGCAATATGCAGTCACAGCCCCGAAGGCCAACTGTATCCTGGGCTGCATCAAAAGAAGCGTGACCAGCAGGTCAAGGGAGGTGATTCTGCACCTCTACTCCGCTCTTGTGAGACCCCACCAGAAGTACTGCGTCCAGCTCTGGAGCCCTCAACATAAGAAGGACATGGACCTGTCGGAGCGGGTCCAGAGGAGGACCACGAAGATGATCAGAGGGATGGAGCACCTATTCTATGACGACAGGCCAAGAGAGTTGGGGTTGTTCAGTCCGGAGAAGAGAAGGCTCTGGGGAGACTTTATAGCAGCTTTCTAGTATCTGTGGGGTGCCTACAAGAAAGCTGGAGAGGGACTTTTTACAAGGGCATGTAGCAATAGGATGAGGGGGAATGGATTCAAACTGCAATAGAGTAGATTTAGAATAGATACTAGGAAGAGATTTATCACTCTGAGGCCGGTGAGGCACTGGAACAAATTGCCCAGGGAAGTTTTGGATGCTCCATCCCTGGAGGTGTTCAAGGCCAGGCTGGATGGGGCTTTGAGCAACCTGGTCTAGTGGAAGGTGTCTCTGCCCATGGCAGGGGGGTTGGAACTAGATGATCTTTAAGGTCCCTTCCAACCTAAGCCATTCTATGATTCTATGATTGGGCTCTTCAAAATATTGTGAGATTTTAAATAAAAATGCAAAACGTAATTACGTAAAACAAATCCTACTCATTGACTCCTTGCCCATGTCTTTCAATCTCAAGTCAGACTTTGGATAAACACAAACCCTGAACCAGAAGGCATAAATCAGTATGGTTCATGCAGATTCAAATGTACATGGGTGGGTTTAGCTGAGAGAAAGCTGAAGAGGAAACCATGCTTGCACTGCAGGTCATATCACACATGAAGCGGGAGCAGGTCAGCTCTTTCTCCTTATCCACAGTGTGTTTTCATGTGGTCCCAAATGTGCTTTGCTGTGTCTCCATTCAGAGACAGAGATTTGCCCATAGAAAATATTTGCAAGACTGGGCTTACAGTGAAGAGAATGAAAGGGAAAGTTTATTTTCTCTAATTTTAAAGTGTTCAGTTTAGGAATCAGAATAAAATATTTCAACAGTAACCACAATGGATGTTAAACATCAACTGCCAAACATTTTTAAATACACAAGACCCAATAAACTGTATTTTAGGCAATTAAAAGTACTCAACTAACATTTTGAACTACTAATGTTGACTGTAACAAACCCTGGAAAGCTAAGGAAGTTCAAAAGGACTGGGCAATAGCTGATGCATTAACAGTATTTTAAAAGGTTAAAAGAACAATCATGTAAAATTAATTATGGGGCTTCAAAAATAAATGTTTGATTGACAAGTGCATACTGATATTACAAATATTAGGAATTTCAGGAATTTCCTTGGTACTAGTCCTAAACAAATTCAAGGCAGCACATGTGAATCGGTTAAAAGCTGGCTTGCTAGAACAGTTCATACTGAAACAAAAAATTGTGAAAAATCCTCATCCCATGAAGATTCCGCAAAGATACTTTTATTCAATGCTAGGCAGCATCCCTACCAATGATCTTCAAGAAACAAATCTAAAAAGAATTTTCAGATGACACAAAAATTGATGGAGCTATAGATAGTGATAAAGGAAAAGTCAGTCCTGTAAAATCATTCAGAACAGGTGACAAAATGTGTATTAATAGAGTTAAGTATAAGGTCACACATCCAGGAATCCTGAATGTAAATCACAGTAGTAGGAAAGCAGTAAATCAAAAGGACTATAACCAACTTCAGAGTAAAACCAACTGGAAAGTGGATGACAATGCGAGGCAAAAGTTAAGAGTGCAAACACAGCTCTTAGCTAGATGAAGAGGAGAATACCGATAAGAAATCAGGCAATGACACGTAAGAAGAACCATTACATCCTTGTCTCTATACCGAAGACCCCTGGAAAATCCTTAGAAAAAAGCTTAAGAAAGAATTCAAAGTCTGTTGTATATTGTGAGACTAAAGAAAATCATGCATTTCTCCTTCAAGAGAGAATGCCTATCATACTTTTGTTAGTAACCAGCTACATGGTGCTTTAAAACAACGCAGGGAAGAAACATGTCCAAGAAGCTGAAAGCCAAATATAATCAAATTCAGGTCAGGAATAAGACATATTACAGCTTCAAAGAAATTTCAGACTAGAACTTTCATTATATATCTTTTAAAATGTGAATTTTGAGAACTCCAAGAACAGGTGTTTTGCTTTAGGAGTCTGACTGCACCGAAACTAAGCTTTAAACACTTAATATTGAAAGAAACACGGCACACACAGAGCATGGAGCAAGTTAGGCACCAAGAACATATCTGCACTTGGACAAGACTATGCGGTCCCTGCTGCTGTTGGTACCACAGCTGACTTGGCTAAAACTAGCTTGGTTACTACTCCCTATGTCTTAACTGTAGCGCAAGTGTATTGGCACATATGGGCACAAGTGAGCCTGATGAAAAGAGATGCCTGTGTAAGGGGAAACTTAAAAAGTTAATTGCTTGGCAGCATGAAGCTCAGAGCCACCACAAAAAGGCCCCCACCCCAAATCGCACTGAACCACCCTGCAGTACTGCTCTGTTTGGGCAAGCACTACTTGATCTGTGAAAGGAAGCAAGACCCTATCACAAAAGAACTATAGAACAACGAACAGACATGAGCTACATTTTACAAGATAAATATGGAATATAACGTTTAAATGTTTTAGGAAATAATTTTAAGAATAAAACCGTTCAGGACTTCAATTCCTAGAATGATTCTGAGCGCTGGATAAAAACGACTTGGTCAATCTGCATGCATCTTAGGCTTGTTAGATCTCTTTCTAATAAACTATAGCTGGGGCTTTTATATTGTACCATTTTGGACAAGCTGATTATTTTTAGCACAATAATCTGCATCAGATGTATTCCACAATAATACTTTTTAAACTACTCAGAGTGAAAGCTAGTATTTGTTGTATTCATTGCTTGATTTCTTATAGCTTACATAATCAAAAGAAGTCCTGTGGTTTGAGGGTTTTTTAATTATTAAAGATGGTTTTTAAGTTCCACTGTATTGGAAAACTCAATGAATTATAATCACCTCAATTGCATCGTCGTACATTTTCCTTGCCTCCGTGTCCATCTTGTCTGACATAAGCCAGGCTTTCAATAAATATTCATAAAAACTG